TTGTGGAGAAAGGGGAACGCTCGTACACTGCTGGTGGGAATGTAAATTAGTTCAACCATTATGGAAAGCAGTATGGAGGTTCCTCAAAATGCTCAAAATAGAAATACCATTTGACCCAGGAATTCCACTTCTAGGAATTTACCCTAAGAATGCAGCACTCCAGTTTGAAAAAGACAGATACACCCCTATGTTTATCGCAGCACTATTTGCAATACCCAAGAAATGGAAGCAACCTAAGTGTCCATCAGTAGATGAGTGGATAAAGAAGATGTGGTACATATACACAATGGAATATTATTCAGCCATAAGAAGAAAACAAATCCTACCATTTGCAACAACATGGATGGAGCTAGAGAGTATTATGCTCAGTGAAATAAGCCAGGCGGAGAAGGACAAGTACCAAATGATTTCACTCATCTGTGGAGTATAAGAACAAAGAAAAACTGAAGGAACAAAACAGCAGCAGAATCACAAACCCAAGAAAGGACTAACAGTTACCAAAGGGAAATGGACTGGGGAAGAGATGGGTGGGAAGGGAGGGAAAAGGGGGGGAGAAGAAAGGACACCTTATGATTAGCATGTGTAATGTGGCGGGGCACAGGGAGGGCTGTGCAACAGAGAGAAGACAAGTAGTGACTCTACAGCATCTTACTACGCTGATGGACAGTGACTAATGGGGTATGTGGGGGGTACTTGGTGAAGGGGGGAGTCTAGTAAACATAATGTTCCTCATGTAATTGTAGATTAATGATACCAAAAAAAAAGGCAAAAACAACAACAACAAAAAGACAGTGGAATCCAATAAAACAACAACAACAACAACAACAAAATATCTATGTACCCAACACAGGAGCACCTATATACGTGAAACAAATACTTACAGAATTAAAGAGGGAAATAGAATGTACTGTATACATTTAAGAAGACTTCAACACACCACTCAACAGATCAACCAGACAGAATATAAGAACAGAGAGGCACTGAACAACACATTAGAACAAATGGACCTAACAGATATCTACAAAACACTCCACCCCAAAGCAGCAAGATACACATTCTTCTCAAGTGCACATGGAACATTTTCCACAATAGATCACATACTAGGCCATGAAAAAAGCCTCAGCAAATTCAAAAACATTGAAATTGTACCAACCATCCTCTCAGATCATAAAAGTGTAAAACTAGAAATAAATTGTACCAAGAAAATGAAAAGGCTCACAAACACATGGAGGCTTAATAACATGCTCCTATATAATCAATGGATCAATGACAAAATAAAAAGAGATCAAGCAATATATATGGATACAAATGAAAATAACAGCACAATGCCCAACTTCTGTGGGACACAGCAAAGGCAGTTCTAAAGGGAAAGTAAATAGCAATCCAGGCATATTTCGAGAAGGAAGAACAATTGCAAATGGGAAGTCTAAATTGACAATTACAGAAACTGGAAAAAGAAGAACAAATAAGGCCCAAAGTCAGTAGATGGAGGGACATAATAAAGATCAGAGAAGAAATAAAATTAAGAAGAATAAAAGAATACAAAATATTAATCAAACCAAGACCTGGTTCTTTGAGAAAATAAACAAAACAGGCAAAACCTTAGCCAGACTTATCAATAAAAAAAGAAAACCTGAACACATAAACAGAATCAGAAATGAGAAGGAAAAATCACTGCAGACACCACCAAAATACAAAGATTAGAGAATACTTTGAAAAATTACATGCTACCAAACAGGATAACTTAGAAGAAATTGACAACTTTCTAGAAAAATACAACCTTCCAAGACTGACTAAGAAACAGAAAATCTGAACAGACCAATTACCAGCAATGAAATTGAATCAGTAATAAAAAAACTACCCAAGAACAAAACTACCAGACCAGATGTCTTCAGCGCTGAATTTTACAACCCATTTAGAGAAGACATAATACCCATTTTCCTTAAACTTTTCCAAAAAGTAGAAGAGAAGGGAATACTTCCAAACTTATTCTATGAGGTCAGCATCACTCTAATACCAAAACCAGGTAAACACATCAAAAAGAAAGAAAACTACAGACCAGTATCAGTGATGAACACAGATGCAAAAGTCCTCAAAAAAATATTTGCAAGCCGAATTCAAAAATACATCAAGAGGATCAAACATCATGATCAAGTGGGATTCACCCCAGGGATGCAAGGATGGTACAACATTCGAAAATCCATCAACATCATCCCCTATATCAATAAAAAGAAGGACAAAAATCACATGATCCTCTCCATAGATGCTGAAAAAGCATTTGACAAATTGAATATCCATTCATGATAAAAAATCTAAACAAAATGGGTATAGAGGGCAAGTACCTCAACATAATAAAGGCCATTTATGAGAAACCCATAGCCAACATTATACTTAACAGCGAGAAGCTGAAAGCTTTTCCTCTGAGATCAGGAACAACACAAGGATGCCCACTCCCCCACTTTTATTCAGCATACTACTGTAGGTCCTAGCCACAGCAATCAGACAACACAAAGAAATAAAAGGCATCCAGATTGATAAAGAAGAAATCAAACTGTCACAGTTTTCAGATGACATGATATTCTACATAAAAAACCCTAAAGAATCTACTCTAAAATTGCTACAACTAACACATGAAACTGTATTATTGTCTAACCCCATACACAAAAGTAAACTAGAAATGGACCAAAGACCTAAACATAAGTCATAAAACCAAAAAACTCTTATGAGAAAACATAGACAAAAATCTCTTGAATATAAACTTGAGCAACTTTTTCCTGAATGCATCTTGGGTAAGGGAAACAAAGGCAAAAATGAACAAATGGGACTACATGAAGCTAAAAAGCTTCTGGTACACCAAAGAACACCATCACAAGAACAAAAAGCCATCCTACAGTATGGGAGTATATATTTGTAAACGACATATCCAACAAGGGGTTCAGACCCAAAATATATAAAGAACTCACATGCCTCAACACCCAAAAACTAAATAACCTGATTAAAAAATGGGCGGAGGATATGAACAGACACTTTGCCAAAGAAGAAATTTAGATGGCCAACAGGCACATGAAAAGATGCTCCACATCGCTAATTATGAGGGAAATGCAAACTAAAACCACAATGAGATATCATCTCATACCAGTTAAGATGGCCAACATCAAAAAAGCTTGGAACCACAAATGATGGCAAGGATGCAGAGAAAGGGGTACCTTCCGACACTGCGGGTGGTGATGTTTGCGTAGAAAAATGAACTTCGCAAACACCCAAGGTAGGAGAGCTAGGGTAGAGGCATTTATTTATAAACTGAGAGGACAGAACTCCTGCCTCATGCCAGAAGGGGACAAGAGAGTTTGTCGTTGGCTCATTGTCTAGGGGTTCTTTGGGCAGTTGAGGGTTTTCAGGAAGTGGGGTAAAGGGTGGGGAGTGCAGACTTGTTGAGTTGTCCCAGAATGCTCATTTTTGATGAGTAACAGAAGAAATTTGGTGCTCTGATTCTTTCTCAGGATACCAGTTTCCCTATGGGAGCAAGTCAATTAAGACTGCCTGCCCTGACCCCAAGGTGGGCTGGGTTGTTGCCTGCTTGCTAAAGTGTGTTAAGAATCTTACTTCTTAACTTCTTGGGCTGTTTATAGTTGGGCTTGCTTACTGAATTAATCTTTTTCCTAGACTGCAGATTACTTGATTAGGATCAGAGAAGGAAATAAGAGCACATAGGGACACTTGAAAATAAGCTAGGCCTTTCAGCAGGCTAAGGTAAATTTTATCGTGTCAAGATCTAAATTGTTACAGTGAAGTCACACATTATGCTGAGACATCTCTGTTTATCTGCAAAACCCTCAAACATTGCAGGCCAAATTGCTCATGGCCTCTTGAGGTTTAACTGATATCACTGAAGATGTATATACTCCTAGTCTGGTATCTCTACACTAGAGAATTAGTGTGACTGTGACTCTGCATAATACTTAACACAGAGTTTCCATAGGGACTTCTTTACACATTGTTACATTATTCTGACTCTAATTATCTTGCTCTCCTTTGTCTCCGGAAATATTCACCCAACTCTGCCTAAATGTACGTCCCTGTCTCAGTGGGAAGGTAACTAGTTCAACCATTCTGGAAAGCAATATGGAAGTTCCTCAAAAAACTAAAAATAGATATCCACTTCACCCAGTAATTCCACTCCTAGTAATTTACCCAAAGAAAATAAGTTCTCAGATTCAAAAAGACATATGTATGCCTATGTTTACTGAAGCACAATTTACAAAATCCAAGATATGTAAGTGTTCATCAGATGAATGGATAAAGAACATGTGCTTACATACACTCAATGAAATACAACTCACCCATGAGAAAGAAACAAATGCTACCATTTTCAACAACATCATGGGATCTAGAGGTTATTATGCTCAGTGAAATAGGTCACGAAGAGAAAGACAAATACCAAATAATTTTCCTCATTTGTGGAGTACACCAATGAAGCATAACTGAAGGAACAAACACAGCACTGGACTCAAAAAAGTCAAAAAGGGACAAGTGGTTATAAAAAGGGAGGGGTGGTGGAGGACGGGTGGACAGGGAGGAAGAAGGGGATTGAGGGGTATTATGATAAGTACACATGGTGTGGGGGGGATCACGAAGAAGACAGTGTAGCACAAAGAAGACCAGTAGTGAGTCTGTGGCGTCTTACTACACTGACAGACAGTGACTACAATGGGGTATGGAGGGGGAACTCGGTATTATGCATGAATGTAGTAACTATATTGTTTTTCATGTGAAAGGTTTGTAAAGGTGTATAGCAATGAAACCTTAATAAAAAATGTAAAATTAATACATTCATTTAAAAAATTAAGCATGGAAGTAGTGTGTACTTAAATAAACTGCATTTCAGAATACTAAAGGGGTATTACAAAGTATTTGCTAAAAAAAGGGAAAATGCTCTGTGACAGGGTTGAACACCAGTGTTCTACATGGTGCATGTGGATTTCTGAAAGAATACTGCTTACCTTTTTCAAAGGAACTTTGATAGCAATGAAACGAGTCCCTGGCAGGTGCTGTCCAACTGGGATACAGTCTTTCCACCTGTTAATACATTTTCTTGTTAGACAAATTGTAGGTCAGCCAGTCTCTGCAGAGAATGAAGTCTCCTTGAACATGAACAGCAGAGCCCAAAAGTAGGTCCTCTCTTCTCCCTACTCTGCACTCTGCTGCTCCACTTACTCAACCCCACCTGGTAGCGATCTATACTCCTCCTCTGCCTGCTTCCCCATCTTGAAAACAGACAAGGCAGCAGAACAGTGCAAAGGGCTCCACAAATAAGACACATCTAAGACCACAGGTGGCCAGAACTCCTGCGTCCCCAATAAAATCTAGCCCAGTCCTGAACACTAAGGTGTCGTTAATACACACATGTTGACTGAAACCGTTTACGTCCAATTCTTCCACTTTACACTTCAGTTTTAGTCCTAACACAACTGATGCCATCGAATGCAACCAGTAGTGAACTTCAAGTTCGTATTTTAAAAGAAAACCTGATAAAAAGGAGGCCGTGAACTTCACTTAATAAGGCTAGGAGTGATAGTAAAAAGGCAGTATTTGAGTTGCCTTCGGTAGGATTTATACAGAATCAAGTAAGGTTAGTTCAGCATTCCTGAAGTATAGAAAGTGAGGGTAAAAGCTGACACAAGATGCGGCTGGGCAAAGAGAGGGGATTCTAGACCACGCAGAGTCTTAAAGACCACGGAAAAGAGTTTGTTTTTATTCTTGAAGCGATGTTTTTGTGCGATATTTAGGAGAACTTTCCAGGTTGCCTATTAAAAAAATGTCTTATGTGAAGAATGGACTGGAAGGAAACAGGGATCGATAAATATATACACTAATCAGGACCTAGAAGCAATAGATCAGGCAAGTTCTGTATTAGGATTCTGACGGAGGGGAGAGGACAGAGTCAAAAGATACTCAGGACATAAAACGAAGGGGACTTGGTGGGGTGTGACATGGAGGAAAGCAAGGTCTCAAGGAAGAAGAGTTCACTGAACATAAAAGCAAAGCCTCAAAATTAATCATTGGAATAGACGGAGGCCGATTTCTCAAATGACACCGGTTAGAAAGCAACAGGATGCCCTTGGCCATTCCTGGGAACAGCACAAAATTTTTCGGTGAAAAGTCTGGCTGTACGGGTGGGTTTTTTCATCCAACCTTTGCTCTTCTTACTCCTCTTTTCTGTGCAAAAATAGCACAGCTTGAGGAATGCGGGGGGCCCCATTTTGGTAAGTAAGGGGTGTCCCCAACACTCACAGGCCCATCTTAAAGGGCGGTCCCTCTCTATTTCACCCGGGGAACCATGGCCCGCGCCTCGCTTCTACAAGGATGGGGAGAAATCAAAAACACCAGGCTGTCCACGTCACCTCCTGCGAGCGGAGCAGCGAAAGCGTCACAGCCTCCCGGGAAGAGGCGGGCGGGCCACGCGCGGCGGCAACGCTCAGGCAGCTACCGAGGCGCAGGAGCTGCGGGCGGGACGGGCCCGCACCGGGCCGAGGCTGCTCACCTTTCGGGGGCGTGGCCTGCACCCTTTGCCTCTTGCCGGAGGGCCGTCCGGAGAAAACGCGTCTCTGGCCCCAGCGGTGGCGGGCATGATGCCGTTGGCTCCTCTGCGCCCCAAGGTGCCACCCACGCAACGCCAAGAGCGACAGAGCCGCCGGGCCGGCGCCCTCGGCGACAACTGGATTTCCCACGGGAAGACTTCACGCCGCAGCGCTTCGGCTCCTGCTGCTGCGCATGCGGCACCGCCCTCGGTGCTGTCGTCCCTGCCCTGGTCGACGGGATTCCGGCGGCCACAGCGCCCTCCTCAGCCGGCGGTGGGTAGCGCAGGGCGATGAGCCTGCAAACCCCTCAGGATCCAAAGAGCACACGGGTCACGGAAGGAATCAAAGCGAAATCCCGCCCCTCTCCGTTTCCTTGCGCGGTTCTTCAGGCAGTTTTCAAGGGCCTACACTCTCTTTTGCTGTACATGTATTTTTTTTCTTTTTAAGCTTGCAAAGTGATTTTTTTTGCCTTTTTTTTTGTATCATTGATTGCATATGTATTTAAATATGTAAGTACCTACTTGTACATATATGCGTGTCCTCTATTTTATGTAAAAGCACCACACTAGATACATATATTCTTCAATCTATCATACATGCTGATTTTCCTGGTCAATTTATGCAAACAGTCTTTCTATTCTTTCTAATGGCTGCAAAGTACTCCACTGATCATAAGAACCACCATTTACATAATCTGCCCAATACTGATTAACTTTCAGTTGTTTTCAATTTTCTGTCCCCCTTAAAAACAGGCTGCAATGTGAACATCACTACACATGTATACACTTATAACTAAATTCCTGGTAGAACAGATGGAATGAAGGATACGCACACTTAAAATTTTACGAGATACAGCCTAACTACTCTCCAAAATTATTGTATCAACCTACCTTCCCACTCCTAGTGAAACCTCTTTTGGGTTCCTGTCATGTGCCAGGTGTCACGTTAGAGGTAGACAAGTACGTATTTACATTTTAGAAAGTATCAAGAAATGACAGAGCGGTAAGAATGAAGCTTGAGTCTGAAATCTGCACACAGTAGCAGGCATAAGGATCTGTACTTGTTAGAAAAACTCTGAATTCTGCCACAGCGGGACACACAGTATGTCTGAAGGCAGAGTAGAGTACTAAATGGCAGATTAAACTATAGGAAATTACAATACTGAATTTTTTTCTAATTTCTGAAAGCACCTTATTACATACACTGTTACTGTTCTTTGCAACCACTCAGAGCTGGGAAAACAGTCAGAGAAGTCAGGGTTATTAATGAATGAGTGAATCAATGAATCAATGAATGGGTAAAAAGACCACTATTTAAATCCACAAGCATTTACAATTTTAATTATAATAATTGAAAGGGGTTAATGTTAGTAAATTGCTATTTGGAAAAGGAGGAGACATAAATTAGCCTAGCATGGTTTGTAAAGTTATGATTGGGCAATTCAAATTTGGGGCTAAATACTCTTTTAGAATTCATGAAAAAATACCCTTTTAGAATAAAATCATAAAATATTAGAATTCACGAAAAAGATAACCAATAGGCAGGTAGAGCCAAAAAGAACAAATGGTACAAATATCTACAGACATGACAATATACAAACTGTGACACAAATCTATCAGAAACCGGAAAAACTGTATTGATCCTGCACTTGCAGTTTGCTAAAAGACAAAGCTTGAAGTAGAAACAAACTCAGTTACAGCTGACACAAGAAAATCCAGACTGAGGCATAACCGGGTTTCCAGAAAGGATGCGAACTAACAAAGACTGGGTCTTTGGATGGGACTGCCTTCAACATGAGGTAAAACAACGCCTTAATAGGTATGCAGTGGAACGGAAAATATAGGAATGAGGGATATCTGGAGCACTGAACAACCAGATAATTGACACTAACAAAATCTACTGGTATCTGGTAGGGCCCCCAGGTACCAAACCCCAGGGGTTTAAGGGATTCCAGTCTTTAATCAAATCAAAAAGTGACAATGGAGAGAGTAAGGAAGAGCGTCAGGGGTGGATGGACTTGTTACGTTATATACCAAGACATTCCCCGTTATCCTGAAGGTAATGAAATACAGGAGGTGGGCCTCTGGGACAAGGCAATACGTAACCGTAAAAGTAAGTCTTTAGGTCAGGGTAGGGCTTAATGCTGAGGCAGAGGCCAGAGCAGAAGGCTGTGAAGAGGTTGGCTCAGTAAGATCTTGGGAATGCTGCCAAATACACCTTTTCGGGGAAAGTACAGTTTATCATTGAGAGGGAAAAGGAAATGGAAATTGCTGACAACTCTGGCTACATAATGTAAGAGTTCATATTAGTGTTGTTGCCACTTTGGTTACCAGCTGTAGATAGATAGATATGTTTCCACACATACATAGATATAAGTATACATATGTAGATAGATATATAGAAGATTCCACACGTAGTTAGATAGATGTTTCCACATGTACATAGATAGATATGTTTCTCTATTTATTCTGAAAGATTTTAAAGCAATAAATGTAATAGAATTAATAGTTGAGTAACAAAGAAGTCTTTTGAGTTTTGATATGCTTTCAACTGTGGTTTCTCTTTAGTGGGAGTGAGAATGAAAGCCTGTATGAGAAAAACAGACCTGCAAGCTGGACGGCATGTCAGGGAAAAAGGATAAGAACTGGGGAGGGAGGAAGGAACTCGGCCCAGGCTCAGGAAGGCCAAAGCGTGGAGAGAGGTTACAGGTTTATAAAAAGGAGCCGGTGTGTGGGAAATGGCAGAAGTCAGAAGCACATTGGGGCTAAGAATCAGAGTTAACCTTTGAATAGTTGAAGATGTCAGGAGATGTGTCTAGGTTGACCAGGAGAAATGTAAAAAGTCTCTCATGAGGGCTGACATCGTGTCTCATGACCACCAGGTAAGTATTTTAGTAAACAAGGGATTCAGGACACAACTCCAATACTCTGGGCTGCCTAATCCATGTATGATTATGGCCAGGAGAGGTGAGTACAAATCATAGGGATATCTGCTAGATGAATGGCAGGGGCTCAGAGCTATCCTGGGGGCAGCTGATAACCGGGGCTGAGCCCCACGAACTGCTGCAGCAGGAGGCCCACCCAGAGCAGGGCCTGGGATTTAATCACCATTTACTCAACACCTGTGGACCAGGTCCGAGGACACACTACTGGCTGTGTCACTGTGCCACTTCACTAGTGAGGTTCAGCAATGGACTGAGTTCACATTGCATGGGTGAGCAAGGCCTTAATTTGAGGCCTATATGCCTCCGAAGTCCTTGGCATTTCACGGGCTCTTACGCGGCCAACCTGGCTTTCAGAGCACAGCACCCGGAGCTCCATGGCGGACCAGATGAAACTTCGGGATGAGCCTAAATGTTGACTTGACAGGAACGTTCCTCCTCTCCGCCCTAGTGCATGCAGTCTGCTCTAAACCTAAGCTCACAAGAAATATCTCCCTGGAAGTATCCACTTTTTCCAGGTGTGAGTGATGGGAGTGTGTGCGTGCTGGGTTCCCCTGCCACCAACTGGAGGCCCAAAGCTCAGGATGGTCCACAGGTGGCTACTTAGGGAGGGTGCAGGACTAGACAGGAAAGGGAGTGGAGTGGGGAGAGGGGGAGAGGAGAACAGCAGGTAATCACCCTGGGAAAATCGGTACTTTACATTATAAAAGTTATTGAGATATAATTCACATACCATAAAATTCACCTCTAGAGACTTTAGTAAAATCAGTGGCATTCAGCACATTCACAAGCTTGTGCAACCGTCATCATTATCTAGCCCATAGCATTTTCATCTTTCCCCAAAGAACCCCTCTTATACATTAGCAGGCACTCCTCATTCCCTCCTCTCTACACCCTGGCAGTCTCTACTCTGTTTTCTCTGTGTGGATTTGCTTGTATGGACATTTCATATATATGAAACAATACAGTATGTGACTTTTGTGTCTGGCTTCTTTCATTAGCCTCATGTTTTCAAAATTCATCCATGTTGTACCATATGTCAGTAGTTCATTCCTTTTTATGACTGTATAATACCTTATTGTGTGGCTCTACCATGTTTGTTTATCCATTCATCTGCCGATAGACATTTGGGTTGTCTCCACTAGTAAAATACATTTATTGAGAGTTTATGCTGTGCCAGGCAACACCAGGCTAAGTTATTCACCCCATGTCACAGATAAGGAGATAAGCCTGGAGAGCGTGGAGGATTTGCCCAAGTTTGAACTGGTAACGGAAGGAGCTGGGGTTTGAACTCAGGCATCAGACTTGAGAGGTAGTAGATTCGTGTGATAGAGCATTAGAAAGTAACAAAAGGGAATCGATGGAAAGTCACCCTTTTCCCCAAGTTCCTCAGACACCCATTTCCCTGCTTCCTTAGAGAGACATCGACTTTTGCCACACTGTGGATCCTTCCTGTGAAACTATTTATACCCTAATGTGTGTGTATCACAACTTACTGATTGACTCACGGTCCCACTGATTTGAAATGTCACTTTATGGTATACTGAATTCTTGCATGTATTTGCATTACTCTTTTCAGAATTGTCCTTTTTTTGCCAATCCTTTTAGATTGCCATTTCCCTAAAAGCCTTTTTATCATCTTTTTTATTTTTAAACATTTCCTTCCTTTCTTGTTTGTTTTTCTCAGGTATTATCCACTATGTTCATTCATTCTTGCATTATTTTTAATTTAGTCTTCAATTCTGAAAATTTTTAAAATGTTTCAATTCAGTCCTGAGTTCTATCATCTTGTCTAATTCTGATTTATCTTCTTCTTTCATTTTTTTTTATTATGGCAAAATCTACGTAACACAAAATTTACCATTTTAACCATTTTAAAGTGTACAATAGTGGCATTAAGTACTGTCACAATATTGTGCTACCATCACCACTGTCCAAATTTAAAATGATTATGTCAAAAGATGGAGCAGGACTGCAGAAAGATGGGAGGCAGCAGCATAGTTTTTGGATCGCTCCAAACCCTCTCATGGACATAGGTCGAGCAATACCAAACATTCATGAGTAGCAGTTATTGTTTCCAGAACTTCTTCATCATCGCAAAGAGGAACTCTGTGCCCATTAAATTAAAAAAAAATTTTTTTTAAGTAAGAAAACATGGTGGCTTGCTTTCTGAGGTTTCCTGGCTCTGCTCTCCTCCCCAGCTCTCATCAAGACATTTCCCTTTGTGTCAGGTGTTCCTCCGAGAAGCTTCTCCTCTGTGTGGGCCACAGCCTGGAAAGGAGCTCTGGCTGCTCAGGTTCCAGATGTAGAGGGGCTGGATTACTCCAGCTCTGTGGACTCTGTCCCGGGTCCCTTGGACTTAACTCACTCTGCCTTTGGGGAAACCTCCCCTAGTCTCTGCTGCTGTTCTCAAATTGGCCCACAGAGCTTCCCAGTGGCTACCTGCTGGCACTTTGTAGGCCTCCTGCCCTCATGCCCATCCTCCCGCCTGCCACTTCTTCTG